GTGCATCCATGTATGCCATAACAGGCAGACAAGTTTGTTTTATGGTAGAAGAGACGTAGGTCTAGTCTGTAATAAAGAGCCTGCCTGCTCACAGGTTTAGTTCAGTTCTGCTTTAAGTGAATCAGTCCCAGAGCAGTCAGTGCCAAGATATGCCCAGGGGAATCTCCAGTTCTAATAACTGCCTTTCCAAAGCTAAGTAAAAGGACTCCCTTTAGCCCAAAGATGTATCCATGTGTGATAAATAGGTATTGAGTCGAACTTATCATTTTTGGTTGGTCGATTGTTAAAGATGCAAAATATGTAATCTTTAATATATGTGTGCAGCCGGGTATAAGGTTTTAGATCGGTCTCTAAATGACATCCATGCAGCTGTTTAGATCAATCATGGGGGGGACTATATTTAGCAATTAATGCGGCTGAAAGATTAGACTGGATGGCGAAAGCTGGTACACACTACAGCGTCTCCAACACCCAAGTCATATAAACATAACATTTTGTTCTAGGCTACAGGCCAAGCACATACTGTATGCCCGAGATCTACATTGTGTTCACTACAGGCTACACTAAGCTAAAAAGGTTTACTCCACATAGAACATTCATGAACATTCATCAAATCCAAGACAGTCCTGAGGCTAGGGTTCCCTGTTCATATATCTACACAAGCGTCACAAACATACACTAAATGTTTAGATAATTTCCTATTGGATATAAACTGCTATGTCCAAAAGAGACAAAGCTCACCTTCCCTGGAGACTGTTCACCTATACTCCAAATACAGAGCTGTACTGGACGACAGAATCGCCCATTCTTCCCTGCGGCCTGTGCACATTGTCTGCAGACAGTTAGTTTCAGACCACTTTTGCTGATAATTGGCAAGTCAAACAAATGAATGCAAACTTTCCTGCTACATGTACCTGCTTACATTGAGAGTGATGGAAGATATCATTTGTCACTTTCACCCAAATACAGAGCTGTACTGGATGATAGAATCACCCATTTATCCCTGTTGTCTGTACTCCCAACTTATGAAAACCAGGCATGAAAACTATGGGGTTTTTTTTTTTTTTTTTTTAAACTTTGCATGATCTGGGGCTCCCATTCTTTATCTCCAGCCCAAAACAGGCATGTGCATACCAGGGGTCTGGGCACATGCTTATGCCAGGTCAGTGACACTAATACAATGGGCATACAAACTTTAGCATCAGTTGTGAAGGGCTTTTACAATGAATTTGCAGAATTACTAGATCTTATTTGTGTATCACTCAGCTGTAGAAGCTTTTAAAAGCACTTTTGAGCTCTAGTTTGGGAAAGCAGGCTTTCAGCAGGTTTGGGGGCTGATGCAATCTTCCTGGAAGGACAGTGACATCACAGCTAACATGGGTTAAGGAAAGTATAAGGTTTTCTTCACAGGTACATTTTAGGTATTTTTTTTTTCATAGGGAAGGGAGCTCTATTGTTATATCTGGACCTTGAAATGTACTGCAGGGTCTGCTTTAAAGTGATATGCGACTGTCCTAATAAAATTCAGGTTCCCCATCCATCAACTTTAGATGTTACTTTAAAGGCTTCAAGAAAGCTGTAAAGCAGAAAAAGAATTATGACTGCCTTCTGAAAGTTGATTGGCCATCAGCAAGGACTGCCTTTAAAATTCTCATGATACGTTTTATCTAAAGGACCTCAGTTCTTCTAACTGTAGAAAGCCACTAATTATTCCATGGAGTGATGGCAAAGAAGGATGGGAGCAGCATTGCCAACTCCACCTCACAAAACAAGGAGTCTTCCATGGGAGCCCTTGTCAAACTACTGCCACACACAATATCAAAGCTGCCAGTGACATCTGCCGTGTACACAACATACTAAAAACATACTAAAATCACACCTTTACTACGTTATTGTCACCCCCCCCAGGAGCATACTGAATCTCTGCTGGTTTACAAGGCATACAAAAATGTACAAAACACAAAGGGCCTGTATCAGCAGGCTTTGGCTTGACATCGGTTTGAGACTTCAGAGATCATTCAGAATTAAGGTGCATTTGACTTGCAGTTTACCTCCTTCTGATCGGCATTTGACTTGCTTTAAAGTGGGTTTATTATTCCTATAGACTTGTATTGCAAACCCTTCTTAAAGCAAGCAAAAGCCCATCAACAGGGGCCCTAAATGTAACAAGCAAGAACTGTGAACATCACATAGGACAAGAGTGGGCACCACTTAAAAACCCCATGAACCAAGTGCTGTCCTTCCCAGAAATAACACTATACACGTTCAGGTTTCTTTAAAATGTATTTTATTTTTTATTTTAAAAAGGCCACCATTCACACACAGTTATTTTTTAGTACATGCTATTAAAAGGAGATGTCCACTCAATTTTTTTTTATATCACATTGTTTCAATATTAGAAATGGCTGTAATTGCCTCACAAGCTAATGATCATTTGCCATGCAGTTTCATGATTCGGGCCCCAGCTGAGAGAGCACAGGGCACTATAGCAGCACTAAACTTAGATGAGAAGCCCAGTAACCATCCAGTCATGACGACTCCTCATTAAACAGACCAGCAAGAAAAGTACAATACTTCTCTGCAGACAGTTCATTTTAGACCACTTTTGCTGATAATTGGCAAGCCAAACAATTTTCCTGCTGCTACCTGCTTGCATTGCGAGTGAGATGGAAGATATTGTTTACTCTTCAGAAAATATGAAAGTTGTTGCAATATACACAATTTTACAAAACAATTTAGACAAGCTGGTCTTAGAGCAAGTCTAGACAAATCACAGGAGCTGATACATTGAAAAGTTACAGTGCTACTGTACAATTCCCCCCCCGACTGAGAAACTGCCCACGGACTTCAAAGATAAAAGAACCCTGGAAAGATATGGGAGCCGAGGTGCATACTCCAAAGGATGTCACACCAACTCTTGATTTCTTATTTAATGAATGGTTGACCTAAAAAAAAAGAGCACATTCATATCAATGTACTTCCAGGTTAGGGGCTCACCAAGTATTAAAGCCAGGATTAGGATGACATACTTAAAACTTGCTCCCTAAAAAGAAAAAAAAATGACCCATATTTTGGCCAATAGCCCCGCTATGTCTTCTTGTGTTGTAATTTACTCAAAGTTTACCAAGGCAAAAAGTCCCCAATGAAAGTCATGTAAGGATTCAAAGTGCAATAAATGTACACAATCATATATAATGCCAACACTAGACACTGATAGGTAGTAAAATGTTCTACTTCTTCACCTACCATTCATGTATACGGTTCCCACTGATCTCTATGGTGAACTGAAGTGTGAGCATAGCAGTTCAGGTCTGTAAGTGATGCATTTCAGTGGGCAGCAGCAGCTCTGGTCTGTCTTCACTAGGCTGCATGTGTATGACAGCATCATCTATCATTTCCCAATCTCCCCCATTCCCGAGTGTGCAGAAAAAGGTACCAAACAGATCCCTGTACTTAAGATGCCACTAAAAGTGTACGCAAGCCCAAAATCTATGTTTCAGAATGTTTGGCATTGTGCCTCATTGTATACAGTTTGTGGGCGGCTCATCAGGTCCACCGGATAGGCAGCCCAATGGCCGCCTGAAGTAGTGCACGTGGCACAGAATGACAGCACTGCTGGTTTTTGAGAGGCAGTAGTTTATTGTATTCAGCCTGAAAGAGGAAGTGATGTTATTGGCAGCATCTCCGGGGAAAAAACTTCACAACAGATTTACAAAAAGCAATTAAAAAAACTGTATACAGTGAAGATGAATGCCACACATTGTAGGTTTATATACTTAAACTGATACCAGTATGCACACTTAGAAGTCAGGAGACTGTGGACTCCATTCACAAAGCAAATACATCAAGACGAGAGCCCAGTCACACTTTGCATATCTTGGCACAATGCTAAAAGGTGCAATTTAAACACATCACAGCAATGCATGCCAACACCTGCTCTATGTGCAATGGCATTCTTCGTGAATGGCACCCTAACACATTGCACAGTACAGCCCAGCACACAATGCACTGCACCACACCACCAATACTGTGCTGTGTTAAAAAAGGTCATGCATATTTTTTTCCACCGTTGTGGTGTGTTGGCAGCCCATTCATAATAAACGGGCTGCCTTAACACAAAGGTTAACACGTGCCCTAATGTTTATGCAATTGAACGCTCAAGTGTGAATGGGCACCAAGTATAGTCGCATAAAAATAGTCCGGCCACACACTACAAACTTTGCTGAAGAGTTTATTGTAGCACACAGGTACATATCGTCTCACCAAGGATCCTCTTCACTCTAACATGATTCACCCAGTAATGGGCTTAAAACATGTTAGCATGAAGTTGATCCACAGCAGGACAATGTGTACCCGTGTCTAACAAATTCTTCAGTGAAGTTTGCTGTGTGCGCCTGGATATATTTTTCCTGTGAGCGACTACAGATGTTGGAGCAAGATTGGCATGGCTGGTGTGCACCCACCGTTATCTCTAGTGCTGCTGTGAAGCACTGATACTGGGTCATGGAAGTTGGCCACCAAGTATACTACTTTACAAAAAAAAAAAAGACAATTATTTTCAGCGGAGTCCAATAAGATTTGAAATTTACAGTCAAATGGCTAAATTAGAGAGAGGCTTCAGGTGACCTCTGACCCACCAGCAGTCAAGCCCAATGCAAACAAAGCTAGGCAGCAAATGTAAATAATAATATTCAGGTGCTTGCATAAGCCCAAACATAAACTGGTTGTCTTTACGACACCCATTACAGCCATACTCTAAATTAGCCATTTTTTCTGAAGCACCTTATTACACCGGTGCCAGCTTGTCAGGAAACCGTATTATTCCCCCCACAGGCAAACCCAAACATAAAAATGGAAGCTCATCTAAAAATACACATCGTAGATGAAAGCTAGAAATTCAACTGCAAAAAACAAAAGCTTCATCAATTACTGAAAATATTTTTTTTTTTTTTAAATAAATAAAAACAGTCTGAGTGGACAGGTCCTTTAAATAGTCTGTCAACCAATAATGTTCTCATGAAAAAAAACAAAAAACAATACGCAATTTTTGTCAATGTTTAAAACAAAGTCAGAATTCATACCCCATTTGGGTTTCCAGAACTGAAAAGCAAAATATGACATTTAAGACCTGGGATTCATTTATCCACAGACTAACATACCATGATCACAAAGGTACCTTTCACTTTTGGTACAGTCATGTTTTGTTTAAATTTAATATAGGAGGTAAGAGATGTGACCAGATTAGTCTCCTTTCTTTCATTTTCTTCCTGCCATGATTTTAAGATATTGTAATGCATTGTGAGCAGCATCATTGTGAGCGTTGCCACAAGAAAGGCCTGTTCCATGGCATACAGTGACCGGAATGGTGGAGAGCTCAGCAAGACATTGGAACTGTCCATTGACACTAAGTTCCTCTGAAAGGCAAAAAGAAACACAATACATGTTACCATAACATTCAGCTGGTTTATACAGAATAGTAATGAGGAAATCAGGTTTTTATTATCTGCCTGGAGGTCAGCTTCCGTATTAAAAGAACTATAGGGTAAGTGTTTTTCCCCATAGTTCTCTTAAGAGTCACGGGAGGACATATACTAACCTCCACCCGTGACCCAAAGCTCAGTATATAGCGAGCTAGAGCTTGAGGTATACTGAGACCGACACAGCTGGGATTGATCCCGACAATGCTGTTGAAATCCACCCAGCTGCGTGAATGACAGCTGGCTCTGCCTATCCAGAGGCAGAGCCAGCTGTACCCACCTCCTTTTCCCATCAGTCCTGGAGGATTGGAGCGGGGGGAATCCCTGCAGGGAGCCGTGACTGACTGTCACAGCTCTTTGCAGGGACATGATCGAGAAGTGAGGGGGCGACGGTATGTGTTCGCTCTCTTCCCGATCTATTGAGCCGACGTGTGACAGTTTCATTGTTGCATGTCGGCTTGAACTAGGAGGGTGAGTGATTTTCACTCACCTCATAGTTCTCCTTTAACCACACTAAATAGAGCAATTCTTTGAACTCTGAACTTAATATGCCTAGATCAGTTGGCTTTAACAACCTTTAAATCCACAGCAGTCGCCTGATAAAGAAAATCCCTTTTTCTTCACTCACGTTGATCTGTGTTGTATTTACACACTTTGTGTTTGAATGCTTTATCAATGTATGTGAAAAATGCACCTGGTGTGAATAAGCCCTAAATATGGTGGCCGCATCAGTTACTTTTAAAGGCTTTTTTTTTTCTTAATTTGCCCCTGGTAATCTGGCCAGTAACATAATTCCAGTCTTCGGGTGGCTCCACTCCCTCCATGGAGGAGAACGTAGCCACTCTTAGGGTTAGTTCACACCATAGGCACTGCGTTCTGGTCCGATTCTGGACGGAATGCACTGGCTCGCAATGCGGCCGGCTCACTTTTTTGCCGGGCAGGAGGGGGCGTGCAATGCGATACTGCCCGTATAGCACTGCATATGGTGTGAACTAACCCTTAGACAGCAGCATTGAGGGCCGTATTAGATGCACTAGCAGATTTAGATGTACCCGACTAAGCCCTCATTCACACGGGTAACAGCCGGCCCGTACAGATCCGTGCACAGCCGTATCAGCCCGCTCCCGGGAAGGACAGGTGCTGCGTGTGATTGCACGCAGCAGCCTGTCCTTCTCTATTGGACTACACGGCCATACGCCGCCCTACGCTCACCTGACCTGCACATCAGTGTGTGTGTGTCCATATTCGTACGCTGACAGGATGGATCCTGTCTGCGTTCGAGCAGGGACACCCGCACAGACGTGCAGGTTGGGTGAGCGTAGGGTGGCGTATGGCCGCGTAATCCCATAGAGGACAGGCTGCTGCTTACAAAATCACACGCAGCACCTGTCCTTCCCGGGAGCAGCCCGATACGGCCGCGCACGTCCGTATGAATGAGGGCTAATGCTGAACCCCAGCTAACACTTTAAGCTGTTACAGCAACATATTTTTTCTTCTTTCTGGGATAAAGGTTTTACACAAATGAATAAAAGCTGGCCATTGACAAAAAAAAAAAAAACCTCAAAAAATAAGGCAGCCACCAGAATTAAGAACTGGTAAACTGCAATTTATTAAAATGTTTACGAAAGCATAGACTGTAAACACAAGAACACAAATGTACCCATGTGTCCACTGAGGTGCCAACAGTTGAGCTTCTGTACATACAAAAACCTCTGTCACATTAGAGGTGAAAGGAGACTCTCCTACAAGACTGTCAGGACATAAATATAGGTAGTTTTCTGTAACTGGACAGCTATGCAAATGAACACAGAAGAGAAAGCTGCTGGGTGCATTTCTATCATTACAAATATAGGACTGTGTTTCCAGCCGGACAGGCAAAGTGGAGAAATCAAACGTGTCAAAAACAGCCATAGCTTTCTTCTGCCCAAAATATGCTCAATAAATCACAAATCACAAGACTAACATATTTGACAAGTTCCCTCTATGCAATGAAGATAGCCATAATCTGCAGAGGAGGCGGAGCACTAAAAAGACCAAATAGCTAGATTTTCATTTCTTCTGGGGACCTAGAAGTAAAACTTCCAGCAACAGTGATTTAGACTCAAAACATTGAAAAGAAACTGGCCCACTTGTAAATGTATTATTTCAGATTGGGCCTAACCCAATCAAGCCAATTACTGCTTTTTACAAAGGCGGCGAGTGATGTTAATGCACCATGTGTCAGAAGACATGTCTGAAACACTTACCAATATCCAAGTAAGATACACGGATATCTTGCTCTTCTGCCACTTCCTTCAACATCGTCACATAATCAGTGTTGGGAATACTTAGTGGGCTTCTTTTTAGCATGTTTATTTTCTCTCCAGAAGAATTCTTTAGGTTGTCCCAGGTACAAGCCGGGTTATTTGCAATCCCCTTTTTCTGGAATGATCAAAAAAAAAAAAAATCAACTTTTTTTAAAACCAGTCTTTGCTTGCAGAGTGCATATTACACATTTCTCTCCCTCTAGTGTAAACTAGAAAATAAAAGCTGGCAATCAACTGATTGTTCACAACTCCTTCATTTGTAAGAACCTATGTAGGTCCCGTTTAAACAAAACACCTAAGCATATTACTAAACGTATAGACATTTTGTACTTTTAGCCCGGTGCATTAAAAAAATAAGAGTATTTTTAAAATTGGGTAAAAATGAAATATTACCTATCATGTATTCTTTACCTAGCAGGTGGCATTCTGTACTGATTTTCTTTAAGTAAAGCAAAGTATTTTCAGCTGTGCTGAGAGAAGCCTTTCAAATCATAACATTAAAAAAAAAAAAAAAAAAGCTGCTGTGAATGTGACTGCTGTGCAGGAGTTATCAGTGGCCACCAAATGGCCAAACAGTGAGCCTGAATTGCTGGGAGCAATGATGGCGGTGGCCGGGGACAAGGCAGGGGATCAAAGATGCACTGCACAACGCTGGAGAAAGACACATGTAAAAGGTGCCCATACACCTTACGATTATCGGACGAAACTTTTTGTCCGATGATCGAACCGACGTACGGTTTTCTTATGACGGCCCCATCCTGCCCCGATTATCGCAAGGTTCAATCAGCGGTAGTTAGAAAAAAAACACCTGACCCGCAATTATTTTCGTATGCGCAGTGTTAATCGTACGACTTTTGACAGACGGAAACGCCACCAATCATGCGAACATCGTACGAAAAAAAACAAGTTTTCAAACATGCTTGACCGTCAAAAGTCGTACAATACTATCGGTCGGGCACTACATTCATACGTTACGATTGTCGTACGAAAAGTCGATAGTGTACTATAATCGTAAGGTGTATGGGCACCTTTAGGCAGTGTGCTGTGCATACTTACTCCACCAACACACCTGCAGCAGGTCCCCGGAAGCTTCTGTTATAAGGTGCAATTATAAATAGCCTACTTTCACATTATGGCCGATTTATCCTCTAGTGTGTCATCCTACAGCAAAACTACCGTATTTTGCGGTCCATAAGACGCACCGGACCATAGGACGCAGGGAGGTCCGGCGCGCCTTATGGAGCACTCAAGACTGTAGCTTCTGTGACAGCTTCTATGACAGAAGCTGTCACAGAAGCTGCAGTTAGTGACCGCTGAGACAGGTGGCGCTGTGATTACAGCGCCACGGTCTCAGTGATGACACAGAGCAGGCGAAGAACGTCTATTCTTCGTCTGCTCTATGGTTATCTCGATCGTCGCCGCTGCTCGGTTTTAATACGAGTGATCTCATTAGATCACTCGTATTAAACGAGCAGTGGCTCCTGCTGCTGAACTCGATCGCCGCTGCTCGGCTTTAATACGAGTGATCTCGTTAGATCACTCGTATTAAACGAGCAGTGGCTCCTACTACTCGCCCGGCGCCCGAAACTGCATGTCTCGGGCGTCGGGATTCGCTCCATAAGATGCAGGCACTTTCCACCCCTCCTTTTGGGGGGAAAAAAGTGCGTCTTATGGAGCGAAAAATACGGTAGTCACCATTATCGCTTAGGGCCCAGACACACCATAAAGTGTGCGTTCCAAACGGTCGGCCTCTGGAACGCAACCCGGCTGGCTCACTTTGTTTTGGTGTGTGGCGGTGCATTGAAGTCAATGGCACCGCAGCCATTGGCACATTAGTGCCTGCGTTCCAGTCCAATGTGATCTGCAAAAATGCTGCATGCACTACTTTTTGCAGAGCGCACTGGACCGGAATGCAGGCACTAATGTGCCACGCGTTCGGGTGCCGGAATTTTATCAAAGTTTATGACTACGTTAGATTGTGTGATCAGTGACGTGGGCACATTTTAACGTAATCCCGCACAGTTTTTCGGCAGTGGAATGTGTGACCATCCATTAGGTCAAACATTCCAACGCTTTGTCAGCTGTTCCATGGCATTGCAGATCATATGTACAGGAGAACCAATCTTCCCTGGAATAGCTGATCAGTCCTGAAATGTCACTTCTATCCGACTTTGTGAGTGCGATCTTAAATTCCACTGCACTCAGATAGCGTGCACGCCCCCCACCCAAACAAAGTGAACTGGCCGAGTTGCGTTCCAGAGGCCGAACGCTCTGGAACGCGCTCTGTATGGTGTGACTGGGCCCTCAATGTACTGCCTTCCTCTCCCATGTCTGAAGGGAGCCCTGGCCCCTGGCTCTATTCACTGCATTAAACAGATGCCAAGAACAGGCTGGGTGTGTTCACTAGATTGTCCATGTGCTGCATGCAGCGTGTACTAATAAATCTGATAAATTAAGGACCCTGTTTGGAACTCAGCAGCACTGGGGTCATCGGTTTGCATGTCCTTCTTGAGCATGCATGGGTTTCCTACCAAACTCCAAAGAAATGCTGTTAGTTTAATTGGCTCCTGTCCAAGCTTGGCCCTAGCATATAAATATGCATGCGAGATATAAACCTTATATTCTGTTAACGCACAGTTTATAAAGCGCTACGTAAACTGTCAGTAGGATATAAAATGCCTGAAATAAAATCTCTTCCACCAAATAAATGTACCTGATTATTTCCAACTTTAGTTCCACTTTAAGTGAGTCATCTGAGCAGTGATTCATTCCTTGTCACAGGGCACAGTAGGAGGTTTTCTTCAAAGTCTCAAAGAAATCTTTGCTGTGCTGTTTCTAATTTGCACTGCTCAACGCAACATTTTCAGTGTATTTCCTATAGGACTGTATTTAAACTAGTCGGGTTTAAAAAAAATAAAAAAAATACCTACCAGCTGGAGCCAGGAAAGGATGGTGAGTTTTCCATAGGAATCACTGGACAATTCATGGATACCAAACTATCACCAGTTAATAAATGTGCCGGGCAGCAGAGGTATTTGAGGCTATACAATGAATGTTATGAGACCTGGATTTACCATCGAAGGATGAAACGCATCAAGGTGACCTGATCTTAGGTCCTAATATCTATAACACATTCCACAATGTGTGTCCAACATGCTGCACAACATGCAGCCTGAGACTTCTTTTTTTTGTATTGATTGTACTGCATATTTTAGCTTACCATACTGAATCTTGTTGCACTTACCAAGGAGATATTAAGATCAGGGGGAATGCTTTGTAGCTTAGCAAGTAACTTCTCTGCTGCTATCCTCTTTGCCACTTTCTTTGATGTACCCGATCCTGCAAAAAAAGGATTTCAAATGAATTTTATAGTGGCACTACATCAATAGCAAGCCTATCATGGTCCAGAGATCAACACATAATAGATTAATGTTATCCCGTTACTAATCCACAGCACAAATGACCCAAAAGCATCGTATGATCTACAAATGACTTCCCAAACTAGCTTATGGTGTGGCCAAACTTAACTGCCATACACATGTAAATACATGGCTTTGTCCAGTAACAACTTTGCTGTCCTAAATGCATGATGAGTATATTATATGATTTTAGCACAAAGAAAAAAGGTTTATTGCTTGCATTAGGAGATCTTCATAGCTTCTCATTTTATAACCATGGCTCATTTCCTAGATTAGGCTAGAGCTCTTCCTGGTTATAGCAAAATCTATAGAGATTTTATCAAAAAAGCTTTTTAGGGAAAATGAACAAAGTAATGCAAAGAGCAGATAGTGACAGTTTCAACACTTCTAGGCTAAAGAGTTTCAGGTTGAACCATCCTCTCCGTGCTATGTTATTGGTCCATCACCAAGATAGTCGGTCCTAATGATCAACAAATGTATGATGGTGCTGCAACGGGCATCTCAGATTGGCCAGGGATTTGGGGCCCCGCAGGGTCTAGAAGGGTTGTGGGTCATGTAAAGCTTTGTGCAGGAACCACTAGTTATAAGTTTGCGCTCAGTGATGTTTCAGGACTACTACAACAGAGGGTTATCATTGCACTAGCAGTCATGAAGGATATTTCTGCATGGTCTCAGAAAGGTAAACTGAATATAACAGAAGTGTCAAAATACTTCACTTTATTCGGGTCAATACTTTTTCCCAGTTTTTTTGGCTAAAATTAGGTACCTCGGCTTATATTCGGGACGGCTTATACTCGAGTATATACGGTATACTGCATATTTTCAAAGTATACAACACCCAATGTCAATATTTTACACATACGTCTATACAAATGGATTTCCAGTCCCACTCCAAATACAGTACAATGAGTTTACCAGTTTCTACAAAAGTTTCCACTTGGCAGGACAATGTGAACTCCCTCTTATGAGCTGGTCCTCCTTCCTGCGATACAAAATACTCAGGCAGTCTCCATCCTTTTTGTACAGCAAGCTCCTAAAGAAAAAAAAAATATGATTTTAAAACCTCAAACCAGTACTCTGTACAATGGCTTACCACACAGGCATGTTTATATTCACAGAACATTACAACTTCAATATGTTGGCAATCTGTGACAAACTAAAACACATACATAGAAATTCAGGTACTAGACAACCCGAGCACCTCCGAACACTCCTGAAGGTCTAAGCATGGGCAAGCCCTCTCCCTTACCCGCAAGGCAATAGAGCCTTAATGCTAATGCTTCTATAACTTCACTATCCGATATAGCATGCAATTGTGCTCTCGAGGGCCTATCATCAAACTGGGAGACCGAAACTGGTGGAGGCGTGATGTAGGTTTAGAAGAAAGGTATGTTAAGGAAAATAAATACCTGAAGTGTGCCAATAGGATTTTCTTGAGTCTGATTAGCTGTTTGTTTGGCTACATCTCGTGTAATGGGTTCTGTCATAGGCAAACTGTAATTAGGAAAGGAGCAAAAGTGAAAATCAACAGTATTATTTAAAAAAAAAAAATTAAAAATGGAAAACTAAACTAGTCATGAAGTCAGTCAACATCGTAACTCTTCTATTTTAGCAATTTTCTAACATTTACGTCGACAATCCTACTCTTACAGATGACTAACAGGTCTTCACCACTTCACCACTCTTTTTAGGCCACTGCCTGCTGATAAACAGAAACCAAAGCTCACTTCCCATCAGTGCCATTCATTCTGCTATTCTCTCCTTGAGATTATGTGACACCTTTGGATATTTATGATTAGGAATTGGTACTCAGAGCAGACCCAGCAGAGAGAAGTGCAACTTGACAGACCCTACAGAAACCGTGAGATTTGATTGTCAATCACCAGCTACAGTGTGCTTTAACATTGACCTAATTTGTGCTTCGGTCACGCAGGTGATTTTACCAAACTGTTTTATTAATAGAAAGGGGTGCAAATCTAGCTCACTCATGACAGAAATGTATGAGTGTTATGGTGTAAGGATATCACAACCAACAGCCAAAAACACAGCAGAAATAAGGCAGCCTCAAGGAATATTCTACACGTATTGAGACTAACCTGACTTTTTAGTGACAATCAATTGTAATCCTAAGGATGCAGACATGGGGTCTGAGAGATATAACTACTGTGTCTTGCAAGAGGCAAATCAGGATTCATATTTTGACAGACAAGAGCTTGCAAATATGTTTACAAATGATGAAATCATAACTTACTTTAGAGTGGCATCGCCTCTTAATATGTTCAAGGCTGATTCTGCAGCTTTATGTTTTGCAATCTTCTTGCTAGGCCCATCCCCTATGATATAGAAAGGATGAAAAAAAACCAATATGCGCTATAATGAGGTTCATGTAATAACAGCACATGTATAATCTTAATTGCCCTAAAGTGTCAGCTCTATCTAAAGCCCCCTACTGATTGTGCTGATTCTTTAGCACATTTCTGCTATGTCAAAAAGAGTTATCCATACAGAACTATGCAGCTCCTTTTTAAGTTCATATTTGCAGGAGCCAATACTATTGTGTATTTTCAATAATCGATTATGTCGATTAGTTGTTGCAGCCCTAGTAAAGCCATCATTGCCTATCCAGAGTGCAGAGCATCATACCCTTCACCAGTGAGCAAACAGAACAATGCAACCAATTGACAACCAATGATATGTCAGTGCTGCTCTCTGCAGCATTGAGGGTCACCCAAGAGGGCAAGACGACCCAGCACGTCATGTGATTGGCCTGAAAAAAGCCTATGGGGGAAAAAAAACAAAAACCTATATATAGATATATATCTATATATAGATGTATATATTGTGACAGGGTACACGACTCTGTGTATGTCAGTGAGAGGTTGAAAAGGGCAGCTTTCCCTGGCTAGGAAAGGGTTAAGCCTGGCCCAACAGGTAAACCTCCTCTCTCTCTATTAATTAGCCTGCACCTGATAGTGACAGAGGGGGAGAGAGCTCAGAGCAAGATGCAGGCTGCACTGGATGGACACAGACTGGAGAGTGTCTGCATATCTGGGGAATAAGGTCTGCCAGAACAACTGTATGTATTGGACTGTGGTTTTTGTTAATTTATACTGGAAGCTGGAATAGCCGCTCCAGTAGGACGTAGTGAGGGACACTACTGTTTAGTTAGCCTCCTAAGGTGGAGTAGGCCTTTTTATTTGTGTTGCTTTTGAGTTCTGTTGGAAATTGTTTGTTTAAAGGAGACTTTTACGTTGCATGCAATAAAGCTGCATTTATTGCCAATACTGATTAAAGACCGGTGACTTTCCTACAATACACATACACACCTTATAATTGCACATTGCTTACCACTTAGCCCCCAAGTACTATTAAAAGCTGTACTGTACTATGTGCAGAGGTCTGCTTAGGATTTTACCAGGAGCGCCACATGGCTGGATCACAGTCAATCAGAAACTTGGCAACCAGTTTTATTTTGTTTCTTGTTCTGTCTGCTCAAAGTCTCAGATGATCCAACACCATGCCAGGTATGAATGAAGCATTACTGTGAATCCAGGGAATTAAGTCCACTGATATGGTAGCCCCTTCCGGTAGTTCAAGAATTATTTGGTGGCCACCATCAGGAGTGATGTAATAACCAATTCCTATATCAAGACCAGTGTAAAATGCAATATTAACCAATTTGGACTTGGTAGGGTATAAAAAAGAAATGAATCTATAGCAGTGTAGACAACTAATTGCTTTAACAGGTGCCAGAATAAGTAGCAACCAGTGAGGTGTAAGAATCTTTATACGCTTGGAACATTAACCTATCTCATATCAACTATCTCATCCATGGCAGCGAACACACAGAACACCAAGGTCACTTGAGACGCAATACAGGAATGCATGACTGAACTACAAATGCCTGCAACTCTCACCAAGTTTAATATACCTTGGTAATGCCGGCACTTGGTTACTGAAGCAGCATATTGCAGTTCATGTGTAAATAAACCCAAAAGAAAACCTTTATATTACCAGTCCTTATAATGTGGTGGATGCATTACTATTACACATTTTCAGCAAGTACAGAAAATACCAGTAGATCTTGCCAGAAATGTTGTGTCCTTGGCACTTCCTGTGAGCTGAAGAGAAAGCATAAAGAACCTTATTTCTATTGTGTAAACTTCCTGTTCCACGAACAAATATATGCTTGAAGTCCAGTCAGCCTGTATGACAACCATGGCTGTCCGCATAGATTCAGTAAAGAAAAACAATGCATAGACCTGAAGGGACAGGCAGTGTGTTAATAGCAGGATTCTCAGGTGATAAAATAAAAAAAACTAAATGCAGCTACAAGGACTGGTAATCTGCAAAATATGAATGTTTGGGTTTAGATAAGATAATTTGTTCCCCCAAAATCCACACAAACAATAAAAAGTTATGTTAAATGGATTGCATTTTCCCATATGCCTTAATTATCTTTGAGGATAACATCATTTAAAAGGTATCTAATAACAGGCTTTTACAGTTGGTTAAAACAGGATGATGATATGGATCATAATAATAATACAAATAATGATATTGATAATTATATGGATAATGATATTGATAATGATCATAATATAAATAATGTTCATAACAATACTCATTTAAATTTTACTCAGGCACTATCACAGGCAAGCAATAACTGTGGTAGTGCTGTCCTTAACAGGCAAACATTGCCATGTTTGCTAGAAATTGTAATCCATAAAAAGCGAATATGAAATCATTTGGTTTGTAATCTTAGAATTATACAAGACAACCAACTCCATGCAACAAGTAAAAGTCGAGCCCAATACACGATACGGATTGTTCTAGTGAAAATGAAATCTCACCTTTTTTCTTAGATGGATTGAGTTTATCCGACATTGCAATTCTCAGTAATCTCTGTTCCTGACCGAGATTTAATGAGGGTATGAGAGAATAGATATTGAGGGACCGAGTCACCACTCCCACTGCTGAATGAACTACAGCTGTTCTCAAGGATTCATATTCAGGGACTAGGCCTATATTTACCATCCTACTCAACTTGTCACACATAACCAGACAGTTCAGTAACTGATACTGCTAAAGGCAACCTCATTTTTCTTGATACTACCACTCGTCCTTGAGCAGTACAGACACCCAATAAAGCCAGTTCTTGATTAGAGAAAACTGGAAAGGCACTTTGTTGTACAGCTCCTAATTGATCATCAATACCGAATACAGAAGAAAATGCAACAAAATACATTGACAGAAACCAAAAAGAAGGAGGGGGAAACTTTGCATCTCCAATGATTTAATAGGTGCATATGGAAGAAAAAACATCTGTATGTGACCTGCCCTCCTTGTCTCATAGCTGACCAGGTTGGAAGGAAAAAAAAAAACACTTCCACAATACAGCGGAATCTTCCCTTTTTTTCTCAGTGTCAATATGCCAAATGTAGATGAAGGCGTGGGGACAGAATGAACCCTGGCTCCATGCTGGTTATTCCCTCGGGAGGTAAGCTGTTTTGTTCAGAAAATGCAGCTAGATCCAAGAAGTGTAAATGCTTAAAAGATCTTATATTAGACCTTCAATTTAGTTCAGAAGAACATAGGTTGACAATCCAGGTTGACCAAACCCAAAGAAATGTTCCATATGAATCATTTAAAACGGGCGCACGGTTTTGATACAAGTATCTGCAAGACTCCGTGTACCCTCCTTCAAATTGAAGGTGGGTTGTTTTCATGATCTTGCAAAATGTGTCATGTAGCTTGAAATACCCCAATTGCGTCATAACTCTCCTGGATCTATGATGCATATCTGGATGACATGTCCCAAAGTTCAAGCTTATAAGCTTCTTTGAACCCACCTGAACCGCAATCTCTCACGAAACCCATGTGAGGTCAGCTGTCACCTATTCAAGTTAATGATCAGGTGACAGAAGTTGCATATAAACTCCTGCATACCGCATGTAATGATGTGATATTATTGCATTCGGTTAGGAATCAAATCACTCTCCCTGGACGCAATGATTGTGTATCCAGGGAGAGTGTTTTCTAACTGCATGTAATAATAATCACATATTACATGCGTTGTGCAGGCATTTACATGCAACTGCTGTGACCTGATCATTAACTTGAATGGGTGAAAAATCACTCACCTCATAGTTCCCCTTTAAAGTTTGAAATTTGGCGAGCGGCCTCCATGGGAGAAAAAATTTTGTCGAGTGGCCCTCGGGGGAATTTGAGTTTGAAACCCCTGCTTTAGAAGATCAGATCATTAAGAAAGTCTCTGACCTGGGCATATTCAAAGAACTCCAAAGCCAGGACTTTTGAAAGTGTTCTGATCCCTTGAATTTAAAACATTTGGTGAGCATATTTAATGTTCCCAGAAACCCAACATTTAGAGTCAGGTTCCTCATAAGAGGGTAAGTACAAAGGCCAGTAGAATAGGCCAACTAAAAGGTAAATGGGGAAGAGGGGTCAGCTTACTGGAAAATGATTAGAGCAATTTGATGAGGTAAGTCAAATTTATCTGCAGATGGGGATCAGAGAGGCTTCTCTAACATCAAGGAATTCTGTTATCTGCACAAGATATGTTAGCAAGTTAGATAGAGTGGTAGGGGGTTGAGAGAAGTCCTAGTTCTTCTAAATGGTCCACCTAAAAATATTGCAGCCCACTGAAAAGCCTAACGGAGGCAAATTGGAGTTAATTGTATTTAATCTATGGATGATGGATAAATAAACCAAGCATAGGTTACATCTCTCAGGAGCGTCCAGCTGTGCTATTCCCATCATTGCAGTTATGAAACCAGGCAAGATCATCTCTACCTGCACTAGAGAAGACATGACCAAACAGAAGATGCAGCAAAGTGTGCCCCACTAGTAACAGATGTAAACGGATGTAGCATACAGGTAGCAGTGGGAAATTACATTGAGCTGGACATTTTATAGCTTATCCAAACCATTTCTCTAGTTCTGAGCGTCAGAAAGCATTCCGTTAAATATAGAATTCTGGGAGCAGTGATCTCACTGGAGGAATCCTCAAGAGAAAACCTTATACAAAAGTAGTGTGACAGGTTCAAACTTTATACAGATATACCCAACAATGGTAATTGTCATTTTCTTAAATTCTCTGGCCCTGTAATATTCAAAACACAACGCAAGGATCAGTACAAGACATCTCATACACCTTAGATGCAACCTTTTATTCCATACATCTGAACTGTGCCTCAAAATGCAAGCCTGGCCTTTTTAATCATGACATTAAGGTGGTGGAGCACTGGACTAAAAGGGTTATTAAACCCACCGGTGTTTTTGCATACATCTACTGCTAGCAAGCAGTAGATATATGCAAAAAGTGTAAAAAAAAAAAAAGCTTTAAAAGCTGTTTAAACTTACCTGCGTCTTCCCTGTGCGCTCCCGTCCGAAAATGTGAAAATTCTCAGCCGGCCGCAAAGCATAGTTCACATTTTCGGCCGGGAGCCGAGGAGACATAAGGTAAGTCTATGGACGTGTGCACCTGCATGCAGACACCCTGGGACAGGAAGTGCCAGCAAGCACAGAAGAGTCAGCGCTGGAGGGACAGATGAAAACAACAAGAAAGAAGATCGGATTAAGAAGCATCATTTAAGGTAAGTGCTGACATTAACTTAGGGGGAGAGAAAAAAATCTTTGACTTTAATGTCACTTTAACCTCTTGCCGTCCGCCCGTAGTAAAAAAACGCACTGCTACATCTGCGGGTTGCCGTCTCCAGACGGCAATTTTTTTCTGCTCGCGCGCGCCCCCTGGCGGGCACGCACGGGCAGAAAAGACCCGACCGTTGCACACACCCGTTACCGGGTGTTTCACATGTAGGCGATCAGCGGGTCCATAGCCCGCCGATCGCCTATATGTGCTCGTTCGCGGCACAGAGGACCTGTCAGTGTGCCTTTGTCAGTGTGCCTTTGCTATTATATAGGGGGTTGTTATCCCCCTATATAATAGCAATAACAATAAGTGCAAAAAAATAAATATAAATAAAAAAAAATAAAAGTAACACATAAAAAAGTAAAATAAAATAAAAGCCACATATAAAAAAAGTGGAAAAAACCCCCCCAAAATGTTTAACTTCCCCACCCCCACGCGCCTATAAACGTAAATACGCGTCCGGTGCCCCAGCGCGCAAAAATTACAATTGCGCTACACATGTTACATATCGCCGCGAACGTCGCAGTGAGAGCAATCATTTTAGGGCCATCAATCACTGATAACACTAAACTGATGAGCGGTAACAGCTTTTAAAGCGTCGCCTATGGCCAATTTTGGGTATTATCGTTTTTTGAGGTTTCGCGCGTTACCCGACGTGACCCCATCTTTTATATTTTACCAAAAAATTGGGTAATCATAAATGTTTTATCATTTAATATAGGGGAAACTGTTTTTTTTTTTAAATTTCGGTAATTTTTCCTTAATATAGTAAAAAAATAAAACCCCCAGTGGTGAATAAATACCACCAAAAGAAAGCTCTATCTGTCCCCAAAAAAGGGTATAAAATTCATTTCCGTACAGCGCTGCATGATGGAATAAATGTCAGTTAAAGTACCGCAGCGCTGAATACTGAAAAATGGCCTGGATGGGAAGGGGGTTTAACACCGCGGATGTCAACTGGTTAAAGGAGAACTATGGGGTAAGTGTTTTTCCCCATAGTTCTCTTAAGCATCACGGGAGGACATATACTAGCATCCTCCCGTGACCCAAAGCTCAGTATCAGCAAAAAGTTTCCCCACACACTCACCAGCCAACATGCAGGCATGCAGGGGGGAATCCCTGCAGGGAGCTGTGACTGACACTCACGGCTCTCTGCAAGGACAGGATCGAGAAGTGAGCAAGCGACGGTATGTGTTCGCTCACTTTCCGATCTATTGAGCCGACGTGTGTCAGTTTAATTGTTACAAGTCGGCTAGAACTATGAGGAGGAGTGATTTTAACTCCCCTCATAGTTCTCCTTTAAAGCTAAGTAGTGGTTCCAAATGGATTACATGATTGCCAACATGTTGCAAGTCTCTAATGTCCGATGAACTCCAGACAGGTTCGAGCCTACATACGCCAAAATCTTTAATCCGCATGGATTCAGCTCGTTTGCGGGTATTACTATAGCTGAGAACGTGCAGAATCCGCCGAAGAAAAAAAAAAAAAAACGACATTAAAAATAAACCCCACACTTGTGCTATTTTGCGGGCTGCGCAGTTTCAAACCAGGCAGCCGCACTGCAAAAGTCTGAACAATGCACATTGAAGTGCATTGTTTTTTATGTTTGGTGTGGTTCCATGTGTATTCGTACGGATGAATACGAGCTGACAGTTGCTCCTGTCTGAATGGAGCCTCACTGTGCAGGACTATTGTGTTGTGTAGACCAGCGTTTTTCAACCACTGTGCCGCGGCACACTAGTGTGCCGTGAGATATTGTCTGGTGTGCCGTCGATTTAATCGTTAATTTCTTTGATCGATCAAAATTATTTTGATCGATCAAAGTTACTCACCTCTCCGCCAGCTTCCGGGTCTTCCGTCGGAGATCCGGTGACGTCACGGACATCGACGTCACCGGACTCCTCCCCCCTTCCCCGAGTGGCTCTGTCGGCTAACGAAGGGAAGGGGGGAGGAGTCGGGTGATGTAGTTGTCAGTGATGGGTAACGAAGGGAAGGAAGGAGGAGTCTGGTGACATCACGGACATAGACTCCTCCCCCTTCCCTTCGTTACCTGACGGAATCACTTGGGCTGAGTCTCCTCCTCACTCTTGGGCCGGTGAGTCATCGCATGTGTGTACAAGGCAAAATCTGCTACCCTGGTGAGACCCCACAAAGCCATGGGGCTTTTGGGGTTGTGTGGTAACGCTGGGTGTGCCATGAGGGAGTTAACATTACGTGTGATCATTAAAGTGTGACTCATTCTAACCACAGAGGGCAGAACCAAATGTAAAGCCCCCCCCCCTAACCCGGCTTCCTAGGAAAGAGAAGGGGGTGAAGGTGTTTCCCCCCGGAGTGTGGCGAGACCCCCTATGAGCCCTGGTGAGACCCCACAAAGCCATGGTGAGACCCCATGGAGCCCTGGTGAGACCAGGGCTCTGTGGGATCTTGCCAGGGCTCTGTGGGGTCTTGCCAGGGCCCTGAGGGGTCTCACCAGGCTGGTGAAATCGCACATAGCCATGGTGGGACCCCATAGAGCCCCGTGTGAGACCCTACGGAGCCCTGGTGCTGGTGAGACCCTACAAAGCCCGGGTTTAACCAGGGCAGTGTGGGATCTCACCAGGGCTCTGAGGGGTCTAACCAGGCTGGTGAGACCCCCACATAGCTCTGGTGAGACCCTACAGAGCCCTGGTTAAAGCAGGGCTTGGTAGGGTCTCACCAGGGCTCTGTGGGGTTTAAGCAGGCTGGTGAGACCCCACAGTGCCCAAGTGAGACCCCCAAAGAGCCCTGGTGAGACCCCACTGAACCCTACTTTAACCAGGGCTCTGTGGGGTCTCACCAGAGCTCTGAGGGGTCTCACCAGGCTGGTGAAATTGCACATAGCCATGGTGGGACCCCATAGAGCCCTGGTGAGACCCTACGGAGCCCTGGTGCTGGTGAGACCCTACAGAGTCCAGGTTTAACCAGGGCAGTGTGGGATCTCACCAGGGCTCTGAGGGGTCTAACCAGGCTGGTGAGACCCCCACATAGCTCTGGTGAGACCCTACAGAGCCCTGGTTAAAGCAGGGCTTGGTAGGGTCTCACCAGGGCTCTGTGGGGTTTAACCAAGACTAGTGAGACCCCACTGAACCCTACTTTAACCAGGGCTACGTCAGTGCTACAGTTTGAATTTAAAACGTATTTGTGTGTTGTGTGAAGTTAAGTCATGGATTGAACAGAAATATGAACAATTATAAAATACTTTATTATTTCATAATAAAGTAATTATAAAATAATTTATTTGTGTTTATTTGATTCCTATTCAAGAGAATTACTTTATATATAGTCAATATAGGCACAGAGGTAAATTTTTTTAACATTTTCTAATGGTGGTGTGCCTCGTGATTTTTTTCATGAAAAAAGTGTGCCTTTGCACAAAAAAGGTTGAAAAACACTGGTGTAGACCACCACTATGCAACCCAGATGCCACAGACACATGAATAATGACTCCAACACCCTGGGGAAAAAGACAGTTAGGGGAATTTATCAAAACTGGAGCAAACAATCTGGAGCAGCCGTGCATGCCAACCAATCAGCTTCTCTCATTTTCAAATCTTAACTGAAGAAACTGGAGAGAAGCTGATTGGTTGCCATGGGCAACTGCTCCAGATTTTGTCTGCTCCAGTTTTCACAAATTCCCCCGTGTGTTTAAATCACATAAGGAGAAAAACAAATGAATGAGAGGAGACACAGGAGAGCAACACAATGGTAAAGAACCATATGGGCTACCAAATTTGAGAGGGTAAAGACTCTGGGAACTCCTACCTCTCCCCCCCCCTTTTCAGAGTGGGGCTGGCATTGATACAAAACAAGGTTGGGCAGCACTCTGTTTAAACAAAGCAGTAGTTAAGACACAAAAATGGGAATAACAATTTGTGCACATTTAATAAAGTATGCTGGGAAAACACAGCATATAATGTCATTCTAACCAAAAATGTGACAGCCTCATACCTAAGCAAGATATTTCACCAATAGCAACACGAAAAGTGAAACTGGGATTATGGGCCTGTCCTTCAGCTTTCTCCAAGGTGTAGACGGGGGGGTTGTTCTTCTTTGTTCCAAATTCATGTAGCAGCTGGATCGGAGTCTTGCTTACATTTGTTGTGGGCATTTCATTTAAACTACAAAGAAAAAAATATATATATAATCTCCATGAAAAAATAAAAATCAATGTTAGGCAATCACGCTTGTTTATAAATGCAATTCAACCATTTTCACATTGAACTTAACCCCAGTTTGCTGCCGAGTTTGGTTTTTTTGACAAAGGCATGCTGCAATTTTAATGGCATATTTGCAGAAGTCTGTTTATGGCACATAGTCATGGGAAAACAAAGCTACACAGTCAATTGTAATCTTCTGCCACTTGATGTTGCTCATTTGCAGCAGCCAGACATCAATATTAATTCAGGTATTTCTTGCCCTGCAATACTGTAACTTAGTCCTACAAGTCTGAAGGGAACCTGGTAAGACCAAAACATGGATGCTGCACTTGTTAAGCTCCAGCGCGGTCCTACTTCTCTTTGAGTCACGACAGTAAGCCAGAATAGGAATGCAGTTAGTGAACACACAAGACCTACTATTAGATTATCTGAGAGTGGGGCTATACATTTCCTAGGATCTAGTAGCATGACTACAGCAGCATTTAGTGGCAAGCACACAACTACTGGCCTCTTATACCAGAAACTAAAGTATGCGTTTAAGGGTTCACAAACCCTTTAAAAGGTTTGCGATCATGTTTTCAGCTTACAAAAACAATAACGTTTCCACACTCATCACACCTGGAAAAATCAGACACCTAAATGTTTGGCCGGCTTGATTGGTATTTGCCCGGAAACCGGCTTCCCAGCCAACCAGCAAGGAGCCGGCTTCCCGGTCAATCAGGAAACCGGGAGTTGGGTCATTACTTGCTGCCTGGCTTCCTGATTGCATAGGAAGCTGGCTCCATGTTCCCCTACGGCACTGCCGGTCAGAGAAAATCCTGGCATCAGGGAAGGTATCGGAGCATTTGGGCAAGTACAAGTACTCGCCAAAATAGTTGGCATCAGTGCATCCCTAATCAAAACCATATCTGACTGTGCCAAATAGCTCTCATTGGTCAGCGTGACCAATGAGTGCTTGCAATTTGCGAGCGAAACTCAAAATGCATAGGGCAGGACTGCACTGGACAGCAGTACGGGACGGGGTACAGATAATACACCAGTACTAGTGGAGGGTTGGGGGGAGAGGTGTTGGGGGAGACCGGGCCAGATTTGATCGGGTAATTCCATTTTCCCATATTGCCTGGGAAAGTGAACTTACCCTTTAAGGCCTCAATCACACACAACGCAAGAGCAAAAATGTATATTGCGTATATGCGTGCACTATATGCAATCCCAGAATGCATCATTTGTAATATTACATTATTAATGAACTGTACATGCATATACGCGCACAAACACGCGTATGCGCATAAAATAAGCAGAAATACGCTGCCCGGACGAATCTCGGTTCTATTCTGTTTTTGCACATTTTTACACTACGCAAATATACAGCTACATGCGCAGCTATGTGTATAGAGCCATTTATTTGCATATGTTACAGTACGCACATATACACGCTGCAGTGTGAATGAGGCCTAATGCACATTGTGGGTGTGTGCAAGAGCTCTGCTGCCTGGCTACCACAATATGGCACACAGTGGAAATGCTGCATCACTCAACACACACACAATGTTCTACGTGTTTACATTTTTTAACTTTATCACTTTCATTTTTATATATTATACAGTATATTAAATATTATTTTATTCTGATCACATACAGGATGAAAATCCCCTATGCGATAGTTTTGAGGTGACAGGTTCTCTTTTATGGAACCTGCCCTCCAACACAGAACAGATCTTCTGTGCGGTTCCTGACAGCCGAGACAGGTGGTGCTGCGATTACAGCGCTCAGAGCAGACGATGAATGGACGTGGTCACGGGTCACCCAGAGGAGCAGGGGACCCTGAAAACCGTGCAGCTCCCCAAGGTACATTTACCTCTGCTTGCCCAAAGCAGGGCTAAATGTACAAAAAACGAAATCGCATGGCTTCGGGTGATAGGAATTCCACACCCCTGCATAGTACATGGGGACCCTCGGCATAGTGGTTGTACAATGAGACTGCAGTATGTATGGCCCCTGTAAAGGAGTGAGCTGCAAAAGTAAACAATGTTTCCGGATTCTGATTGTAGTGACATCATCGCACTCCCATTCACCACGGAGGTCGAGACCATAACAAATCACTGCTATAAAACAATTCTTGTTTCAGATTTTCCTTGTTTATTGCATTTTTTCCCCTTTTGTATCCATGTTTTCCTAGCATAGGGCTGGACTTCCCCAGACCTGCAACTGTGATGTCAGCATGCATCAGCCTCGGTGTGTATGGTTCAGTGGCTATTTCAGTGCTTCTTGTAAGAAACACTCCTCAAAAACAGCGACCTAGGTCATGGCCGTTTCAGCTTCTCATTGGACTCCTGCACATCTCTATGCAGAGAAACGCACATTAACGTGCATTTAAGAAAAAAAATTGCACGCAAATGCCAAGGGCTTATTTGCACCAAATCAGGATGAGATCTGCATGCGTTTCTGCACATGCAGTGCGTTTGCCACATTCCAGGCCATTAAAAAAAAAAAGAAGCCTAAAATGGACTTTGTGCGTTTGCAGACGTATTTGATGCGTTTGCATATGTTCTAGTGCGTTCCAGAGCAGAAAAAAATAGGGCATGCTTCAGTTTTTCCATATTCTCTGGAACTAAACGCTGTGGTGTGAACTAGAGCCCAAAATACCATTGGAATACATTGGATGCATTTTTGATGCTTTCTGTAACTGCTCTGCACTTGGTGTGAACAAACCCTAAAGGACCTAATCACACTATAGCAGGGGTCCTCAAACTTTTTAAACATGGGGCCAGTTACATAGTATTTTAGGTTGAATAACGACGCAAGTCCAACCTATTGCGTGTGTGCATTTATGTTTGAGCAGGTGTGTGAGTGTGTATGAGTCCATGTGTGATCTTGCTCTTAGGCGTACCTGTACCCCTGTATGTTATGGTCTTCGAGGAACTCGTCCAAGCGTTTCTTGAATGATTCCACACTCTTAGCTGAGATCACTTCCTGCGGCAGCGAGTTCCAGACCCTAACCGCTCTAACTGTGAAGAACCCCCTGCGCCCTGTGTGTTAAAAAAAAATTGCCACCAATTTTTGGTTGTACCCTCTGGTTTGTTACGGAGCTAACCGTAAATTTTTTAACAATGTTGCTGTCACCATTGCAGAGTTTATACAAGAATATCATGTCCCCCCTTAATCTCCTAACCTCCAATGAGAACATATTTAATTTTAACAGCCTTGTTGCATAGTTTAGGTGCTCAAACCCCTTAATGAGTTTTGTTGCCCTCCTCTGGGGCATCAGCTCAGGGACATCTTTTCCAAGTATCGGTGACCAAAACTGGACCGCATACTCCAGATGTGGCCGAACCAGTGATCTGTAAAGTGGCAAAATTATAGACTTGTCTCTGCAATACATTCCCTTCCTAATGCAAGACAGGGCTCTGCTTGCTTTGTTTACAGCAGCCTGGCACTGCGAGCTATTCTTCAATCTGTGGTCTATGATGACCCCCAAATCCTTCTCCGTTTCAGACTTCCCTATTGGCACACCCATAAGAGTATAGTCCATTTGCCTATTTTTAACTCCAAAGTGCATTACCTTGCATTTATCAACATTGAATTTCATCTGCCATACAGTTGCCCACTCCCCGAGTTTATCCAGGTCCTCTTGTAATGTTATAACATCTAAATCCATGTCTATTACCCTCCCAATTTTCGTATCATCAGCAAACACTGAGACACGGCTACTTACTCCCTCCCCTATATAATTAATAAATAGGTTAAAAAGCATGGGACCCAGTACAGAACCCTGGGGTACGCCACTCCTGACCTCCACCCATTCTGAGAAGGTGCCGTTTAGCGATACTCTTTGTACACGTTCCTTTAGCCAGTTTTCTATCCACGTGCACACTACTTCATCTATGCCCATATCACTTAGCTTGTATAACAAGCGTTTATGTGGCACCATATCAAATGCTTTGGAAAAGTCCAGATATACTACGTCCACCGGCCTCCCCCATCCAGATCTCTACTTACCTCTTCGTAAAAGGTCAGCAGGTTGGTCTGGCAAGAACGATCCTTCCTAAATCCATGTTGGTTATCAGTTATTATGCCATGATCCCGGACGAATTCCACTAAGTAGTCCTTAATAATTCCCTCTAACAGTTTACATACTACCGTATGCATGTTAGACTAACTGGTCTATAGTTCCCTGGTTGGCATTTTGACCCTTTTTTGAATATAGGTACAACATTAGCCCTTCGCCAGTCGCTTGGCACTCTACCAGCCATTACCGATTCCTTAAAAATTAGGAACAATGGTTTTATCTCCATGTGCAGCTCCTTGAGTACCTTGGGATGTAGATTATCAGGTCCTAATGCTTTATTTGCATTTAGTAGTTTAAGCCTTTGTTGTATCCCAGTTTATGTCAACCACATGTTTTTTCCTGTACATTAAACCCGTCTGTTTCCTTGGTGAATACCGACGAGAAAAAAGTATTTAGCGCCTTGGCCCTCTCCCTGTCGTTTGTGAGTAACGTACCATTTATGTCCTTTATTGGGCCTATCTGTTCCTTTATTGATAAAAAAAATGTGGGGTTCTGTTTACTAACCATAGCGATATATTTCTCACATTCAATTTTAGCTGCCTGGACTACCAGTTTACATCTTTTGTTACATTCTTTGTAGTTTTGGAATGCCGATACTGACCCCTCCGTTTTATACTTTCTAAATGCCACTTTCTTTTCCTTAATGTGTTGTTTTACCGTTTTGTTTAGCCATATTGGCTTTGTTTTCGATCTTTCATTTTTGTTACCCAATACACCTGGTAATAGCATTTTTAAATTTGTTCTTGAAACAGTCCCACTTTTGGTCAAACTTTAGTTTATGAAATAAGTTTTCCCATTTGATTATACCCACTATGTTTCATAGTTTATCAAAGTTAGCCTTCCTGAAGTTTAGGCTTCTCGTCCGCCCATCCCCCTTCCCTTTCTTGCACCCAATATTAAAAGCAATCACCTTGTGATCACTATTACCCAGTGTTTCCCTGATTACAATATCCTCAATTAACTCCGTATTATTGCTGATGATCAGATCTAGGATGGCACTTTCCCTAGCAGGGACCACAACCATCTGATCCATGAAATTGTCTCGCAACATATTAAGTTGAATTTCCATTAGCCCAGTTGATGCATGGGTAATTTAAGTCTCCCATAACCACAACATTTCCCTGCTATTTCTATTTGGGATTGTAGGTGGGCCGCCTCCTCTTCCCCTATATTTGGAGGTTTATAACAGACACCCACAATAAGTTTACGTTGAAGGTTCGTTCTATCTAGTTCCACATCATCTCCACCAGTTCACTGTCCCTCAGACATGGCTGGGGGCCGATCAGTTTGAAGAACGGGGGGGCGGTGGCTTTGGTGCCGCAACACCACGCCCCCTCCCAGAACAAAAGGGGTTTTTTTTCCATTATGTTAGGAAACATTTATTATTACCCAATTTGGTAAAATATAAAAGACGGGGTCACGTCGAGTAAAGACACCAAACATGTCAATCTTACAAATTGCGGCATAATGGGTGCAATCGTCGTTTTCGCAGGTATGCAGGAAGAAACCCCTCCTATGTGATAGCAAAAGATGTGACAGGTCCTCTTTATCAAGACATTAGGGGTCTCCAAGAACCCTAATGTCACCTAGGACCCCCGAAGAAGCTGATGAAGCGGAGGTCGGCTTCATCAGCTTCTCACCAGAATCTAAAGCTGGAGAGTGACACAAGAATGCGGAAGTGATGCAATATACATCACTTCCGCATTCTTACAGCGGAGAGGGGACCGGAGGGAGATCGTGTACCGACCTCCCTCTGATCCCGTCAGAGTGGCACTATGCTGGTCCCGGGCTCACACCGGAGCCCGGGATCAGCGTGACAACGGGAGGAGGGGCCGCGGAGCGAGAGGGGGGGACACGGGCCGACAGCCCATACAAGCGATCCGCCGGCTCTATTGCCGGCGGATCGCTTGTATGTTAATAGGCATCGCTGCCTGTTTTTAAATTGGATGTATTTCCCGCGCGCGCTAGTGGGCATGGCTGATCTAGGGAGCTTGGCCTGGCCGAACGTGCCAAATGTGGCCCGCGGGTCGTAGTTTGAGGACCCCTGCACTATAGCATCAGAATCTGTGCATTCCCTGCATGCTAGCACACATCACATGGGTAGTGCACACCCCAACATACCTCCCAACAGGCGTGCACGCAACATGTTTTGCTGTGCCATGTAGTGAAAAAAGTAATGCATACACTCAGTTCTCAATGGGGCACAAGTGTGAAGTCCTCCAGCACTATAAATGAAGGTTTGTACCTCCATACAGACCTGAGGGGATGAAGAGTCTACAAGAGCCTGTGCACAGTACCTATAATCCGCTCAAATACTGAACGCTGAGCCCGGGAAAACACAATATTTGTCATGTGTTCTGTGACTGGAGACGAGGTGGATGAATGTACAATCTCCTCTCCCCTCCACCAATCACAGAGCAGCAGTGTCAGAATGAATGAAGATTAGAGTTCTGTTCTAACACCACAGCATCCAATACCAGAACACACATCATAGGAGGGAAATTCATTGTGAAAACACATCAGCTGCAGAGTCGTATTACACTCTCACTCTCCTCAGAACAAATACAGCAAATTATTTCTTCACATTTGTCACCAAGCACTCAGTCATCATGTTTCTGAGCAGGTGGCTCCTACGGTCGTGGCTTCCCTGAACTTCCTGTCCAGTACAAGATCACAAGGGACAGAGCAAACTCCAGCAACTGTTCATCTACTAGCTTGGAGGAGAGGAGGGGACTAACTTGCTTTACTGTGCCCGTGTGTAGAGACACACATCATACTAGCACACAAAAAGGGTGACGCCATAGGACCCTGTAAGTGAAAGGAGCCTGGATATCAGGACCAGTGCACAGGGGACCTGCTGATTCTGGAGGAAACTAAAACTTGTCAAGGAGCAGCATCCATTGTAATTTATTAAGCATCTGAAACAGCTTAGAAAGGAAGGAAGGGTGGGTGGGAGATGGAAGGAGAGGGGGGCAGGGAACAGGCAGCGGATTGCTTTGCCGTGTCTGTGGAGACACAGGTTACTACCGTCGTGTTTCCCCAAAAGTAAGAACTACCCCGAAAGTAAGACCTAGCGCTATCTTCAGGGATTTCTGTAATATAAGACCTAACCCGAAAATAAGACCTAGTTCGGTGATAGGTCTTATATTACAGAAATCCCTGAAGATATCGCTAGGTCTTATTTTCGTGGGTTGCTGCACATATGATTGAATTTTACTCAGAGTGTCAAGACCACAAAAAGCTTACTGGCCTAGGCTCCCTCCTCCTGCCTGCATGCACACCCGCCCATACACTTGTCTGCCTCGGCTGCCGCTGAAAACTACAGGGGAGGGGCTGGATTCCCCTCTCCGATCCGCCAGCGCTGACGGGTGGAACGGACAGGTACAGCTGCCTCTGCCTCTAGATAGGCAGAGCCAGCTGTCAGTCACGCAGCTGGGCGGATCCCGGCACAATTGTCAGGATCCGCTGCGGCGTCTCAGTATTCCACGAGCTACAGCTCGTGGTATACTGAGCCTAGGGTGACGGGAGGACACAAACTAGCGTCCTCCCGTCACACTAGGGTCAGTATACCACGAGATATAGCTCCGGTGTACTAGGACGCTGGAGCGGATCCCGACATCGATGTCGAGATCCGCCCAGCTGCGTGACTGACAGCTGGCTCTGCCTATCTAGAGGCAGAGCCAGCTGTACCCTCCCCCGTCCTTTCCGCCAGTCAGCACTGTCGGATCGGAGAGGGGAATCCAGCCCCTTCCCTGTCACGGCAGAGAGCCGTGGCAGGGTCGAGAGGTGAGCGAATGCCGGAATATGTTCGCTCACCTCCCGATCTACTGAGCCGACCTGTGACAGTCTCATTGTCACAGCTCAGCTAGAACTATGAGGTGAGTGAAAAGCACTCACCTCATAGTTCTCCTTTAAACGTCAAGAAGCAGCATCCATTGAAAGTCATTTCATCAGCATTCAAAATTACTGAAAACATTTTCAGGGGAATTTATCAAAACCTGGAGCAGCTTTGCACGGCAACCAATCAGCTTCTCTCATTTTCAAATCTTATTGAACAAACTGGAGAGAAGCTGATTGGTTGCCATGGGCAGCCTCTCCAGATTTTGATAAATTCCCTTCATTGACTTTAATAGACGCAGCTTTTTCAGGTTTTATGTGCGTGCATTTATGTTATTTCCAAAAGCCGGACTGTGCCCTGAACAAAGCTTGTATAAACCCCTCAATAGCAGCGCCTCAGAGAACACAGACATCGTATAAACTTGTGTGATCACAATGGCACCCTAAGAGCCCCTGTTACTTCATATATATTTCAGCAGTAGGCGTCTTCAGCGCTGAGGCACCACAAGTCCCAGCACAGCCACCTACCCATTGTGGCCACAACCCCCTATCCAAAGCTTGATGTACGCCGGCAGCCCATGACTGCATAATGGCCGCTTCCCTGCCGGTGTTGCTGACTTACCCCGGGGCGCCCCTGGCGGTCTTCTCAGAGCTCCTTTTAGGCGCGGCTGGAAACCTCTCCTTGGACATGGCGTCTGAGGTGGAGAGTAGGTCGGCTCTCCGAGGATTAAAGCCGCGCAGAAAAGGTTCTCCCCCGGCCAGCGGGTCACTGCACTCCTCACACGCTCAGCGAGATGCCTGGCATAGCGGAAGGGGCGGGGCTACACACGGCTCTATACTAGAAGGTGAATGGGAGCGGGCGGGGCCGGGGAGATACCATTCAATGACAGGTGTGGGAGGGCCGGGAGGTAGCGGAAAACTGTAGGGATGGTGGACCCGGTCAGAAGTGAGAGCAGCCGGAGAGTGTGGGGAAGTTATGAGTAGGACGGGTCACAGGAGAACGGACAAGGTGGTGGACTCCATTACAGAAATGGCATCTTCCATTCTGCTCATCACGCAGACTGATGGCTGGGGGTCTATGTGAGAGCTGCTGCATTGTGAATGGGGAGGACCTGTGAACACTGGGGACGATTTACTGACAGAATAGACATTGTACAAATGTATACATATATAGATTTTATTTTATAATATTATTATTTGTATTATTATTTTTAAAAGATTATTTATGGAAAGATTAAATAAACCCTTTCTGTTTTCGTTACATACCTTATTTTAGTTCATGTGTTGTCATCATTGGGTCACTGTGATCTCTGTGCAATACAGACAGATCATGGCCGGTAGGAGGTGCCAGATGGATGCTGTACATAGCTTCCCAAAAACATCACAGCACCCTGCCTACCCTGCCTCAGCAATTTTCAGGAGCCCTTAAATCTGATCCAAGCAGTGGGTATAGGTATTGCCCCCATGTGATGCTGAGCTTCCATCATTAAAATAACTGAAATCCACTGAATAAAAGGGGAGGGTTAGGGAGAGTCAGGCTGGGGAGGAAAGGGATAGATAATGTTGGGTGCCCTCCAGACTATAAAAATGAGGCAGGTTCTATATAACCTTCTGCTGCTTCTAATGCACACAATGAGCTTCTCACAGTGTGCAGTGAAATCATAGTCATCAATCTCACTACAGGAGAGGATCTACAGCTAAGTGATACACAAATAAGATACATTTTTATTAATAGTTAAGGTATTTGAATGCATTTTTAAGATTTCACTTCTGAGTATTGCACAGAAATATTTTGGGATTATAGTTCTCCATGCTGCTACACACCAGCCCAAAACGTGCACATCCGTACGGGTACATCCCTGGAGGCAAACTTCTGCATCCGGGAGCATGCATCTGTATCTGTACCGATGTGCAACTGCAACTTCAGGTTGGCGTATAGCAGCATGCAGCCACATCCTGTCATTGAATAAACAGGTGGCTGCACACAGCTACATGCAGGGGTGCCCCGAGGCCGGGTGACACCCCGCCGCGTCGTCATCGCGCGTGCACGTGACGTCACATCGCACATGTGTGGCCATCTCATTGACGCCTGCCGGCGGCCATCTTGGTGATGGACGCCAGCAGAGAGAGAGGAGGGCACGTTCACCAGGCGGGATGAGGTATGCCGTAGGGTCCCCTCCTCTCTCCTGACACTGTCGGGCTCTCGGTCCATGACTGACTTTTTAGAGGGGGTGACACCAAAATGACTGTTAATCATTTTGGTGTCACCCCTGCAATGGTGTCACCCGGGTGCATGTAGCCAGTGCTGCAGCCCCCGCACCCCCTTTGTGACGCCACTGGCTACATGCACCAGCTGTCCCTTCCAAGCGCATCGCTGCTGCATGGACGTGCGTGTTGCATGGCTGTGTGAATGAGGCCTGAGAAGTTCATTCATTGCTGAGAAATTTTCTCTTCGAAACACTGAGACCTATGACAGGACAGTAGACAGAGTCTGCACTTTTCTTCACCGCAGTCTTGTCCACTAGTAGACTCTCCCTTATAACACTCACTGCGCCTGTACATAGAAACACAAAGATGGACGAACCGCAAAGACAGCCAACTACCTCATGAGTTTTAAAGAGGAACAGACTTTAAAACTAACATAGGAGGAAGGGGGGAAAAAGGGGAGCGGGTTTGGCCGCCCCATCGGGCCTCACAACTAAACATGCCGGTCCTCTCTTTCTATTTCTTTTTCAGTGACAACTCAAAAATGTTAGATTTTCTCTCACTCAGCCCTGATAACATTAGTCTTCAGGACAAAAAGAGTGAATATCCCTAGCAGGTACACAGACAAAAATAGAAATCTGACAGGGGTTCTGACCCTTTTATGCTGTACCCAAATTACATTTTCTTTTTTCACTTTATATGCACTTCAAGGTGAACGCACATAGTTTGTTCTAGTACCTTGGTTCTCAACTGGTGGGTCGTACCCAAAAGTGGGTCGCGACCCCATGTTCAGTGGGTCGCCGCATGCCTTTCACTTTTCTTGTTGAGAGGCTCTTCTGCCTCCCATAGCGCAGAACGTTCAGTTCTCGCACCAAGCAGCCATTCAAAATATGCTGCCCGGTGTCAGCTTGAGGTGAGGTGGGCTGGGGGTATGGCTGCAAGGGTGCTCCATCCATACCTGCATTGCTTACAGCTTCCTCGAATGTCCTGTAGAGGTGCCTGGACTGGAGTGGCGTCACATTCTGGCTCCCGGCACCTCTACAGGGCGCGCAAGGGAGATGTACAAGCAATGCACACATGGATGAAGCTCCATCACAGCAGTGCAGCCCACACTGGACCCCAGGCTGAGCATCCACTCCAGAGGGAGACTGGTTGAAGCTTAAAAATAATTTAAGAAAAAATAAAAAGAAATCTGGGAGTGCGTATGAGAATGTCTGTGAGTGTGTGAGATTGTGTATGTGTATGTATGTCAGTGTTTTTGAGGGCCCGTTCACACTAGTACAGTGCGTTAAACTGTACTACGCAATCGCACCTGCCATGCATTCATTTGAATAGTACCCCAAACGCACCTCCCACCCACAGTTCGTACGCTTGCACCGGAACGCACGGTACCCCAATGCCATGCGTTCCATTGCAATGCCACTTGGATTGCGACTTAATGACCAAGGACAAATGTGGGTCCTGAGGTTACACAGGTTGAGAACCACTGTTCTAGTAGATATGTGTCAGATAATAGTATGGGCCAGGGACTGGTCTTCCGACACAGATATCACATATAAACTCGGCAGAAGGTTTTACAATCTATCATATAATTCCTGGGCAGACTCCCTTTGATTTACCCAAAGCTTTGTGTCATGGCTTACCTAAACAATCCCTTCAGTTTGTATTCCATATGAGGAAGGTGCTCATGCTACACAGTGGTTGTTTTAATTTGTAGAAGCTACATTGCAGTTGGTAAATCTAAGGAATTGATACAATATTTCTATTATTATTATTATACAGGATTTTTATAGCGCCATCAGTTTTTAGAGCATTTTACAAAATAAATAGAGACAGTACAGTTACAATACAATGCAAGACCAGAGGGTTAGGAGGGTCCTGATTGTGAGAGCTTACAATCTAAAAGAAGGGGCAAGTGATACAAAAGGTATAAACTGCGTGGAGATGGGTTGATGAAGAAAGTTGGTGGGATAGGTTTCCATAAAGAAATTAGTTTTCCAGGATTTCTTAAAGGTGGATAGAGCAGAAGATAGCCATTCAAATTGGAATAGGGGGTTCCAGAGGATGGGAGAGGCTCTGGAGAAGTCCTGGAGGTAAGTATGAGGTGGGATAGGTTTCCATAAAGAGATGAGTTTTCCTGTATTTCCTAGAGGTGGATAGAGCAGAAGATAGCCATTCAAATTGGAATAGGGGGTTCCAGAGGATGGGAGAGGCTCCGGAGAAGTCCTGGAGGTAAGTATGAGGTGGGATAGGTTTCCATAAAGAAATTAGTTTTCCTGGATTTCCTAAAGGTGGATAGAGCAGAAGATAGCCATTCAAATTGGAATAGGGGGTTCCAGAGGATGGGAGAGGCTCTGGAGAAGTCCTGGAGGTAAGTATGAGGTGGGATAGGCTTCCATAAAGAGATGAATTTTCAGGGATTTGCTAAATGTAGACAGAGCAGAAGTCAGCCATTCAGATAGGGATAGGGAGTTTCAGAGTATAGGAGAGGATCTGGAGAAGTCCTGGAGGTAAGTATGGGTGGAGGTGATGAGGGAATGGGAGAGCGGGAGGTCTGGGGAGGAGCGGAGAGGACCATTTTGGTGATATGCTGAGACGAGGTTGGTGATGTAGCCCAGGACACAATTGTGTAATTTGTGTGGCCAGCTTTAGATTTACCCTTTGTGTGACCACACCTCAATGATCCATAAATGTTTTATCCAGTCAGGTAGATGCTCACATTACATCATTGTTGGTAAATCAGAAGTTGATGTTCCCACCAGATTCTAATGCATTACCAGCTTTTCAAATGAATGTTAGATCAATTCTAAGGAAAATCAGGCTGGTGGGTCACAAACCTTACAATTTTTATTTTTTTTTAGAGTTGAGAACCTTCACAGCATGGAACATGCACAGTGTGTCACAAGAACCAATAACAAAGACGCATATTACTTTACATCTTCTATTATTCATGGACTTCGGTAATAGGAGTCAATGAAGGTGCACACAACACTGCAATCCACTGAGCATATGCCACGGAACACTGAGGATGCACCGGCCCACACTGACTCATAGCATACTTCGTACAATGAATGTGGATCTGAAGCTTCTAGAAAGGCAGTCGATGTAACTACGGATAATTCCTACTTCTGCTATGTTTTCAGCGGCCACCAAGAACTTTGTCAAACAAGTAGGAGATGGAGGAAGGCTGATCCCTGTCCCCAGCCTCAGTGAAGCAGACAAATACCAACCTCTGAGCCTGGTAATCAAGAAGAAACGCTGTTTCCTTTCCAGAAAGTCCAAATATATCTCTACCCCATTTACACTGAAGGATATTCTTGATGGAGACAAGGAAATTTCTGCAGGTAGATCTTTATGTTTTAGATTTGTGGAGCTGAAAATGTAATGTGATCTTGTATGTTGTAACACTATACTGTTCTGTTATTCTCAGCCTTTTACAGATTCCAGTTGCCTTTCTTGTACATACAGAGTCCTACACCAGCGTTTCCCAACTGTTTTTCAGTCACAGGAACCTTTAAAAGTACAGTAATACCTTGGTTTACGAGCATAATTCGTTCCGGAAGCATGCTTGTAATCCAAAGCGCTTGTATATCAAAGCGAATTTCCCCATAGGAAATAATGGGAATTCAGATGATTAGTTCCACAA